CTGTTTGTGATTACGGACGTCAAAATGGAACTCTTTTAAACCGACATTACAAAACTATATACAGGACTGTTTCGGACCGTTAAAAGGTAAACAAAGGTCAAATATAAGAGTTAAAATACATGAACTATTATAGGATACCATTCTAAAAGCATGAGAAAGATTAAACTACACGAAATAAATAGAAATAAATACCTAAAGTAGTGACAAAAAAATTGGCGGCGTAAATCGAAGGTTTTTAACAATGCATGGGTCTGTAGCTCTCTGCTTTATCTATCCGAATACTCTCAAGCAGAGGGCTACAGTTCTGCAGCTAAACTTATATAACAAGAGGCTCATGAGCCACATCACTTATAATTACCTGAAAAGCTTTGATGATGCAGTTCTTTACCAGATTTCCCCCTTGTTATACCTTTTGTGACCCAACCTAATCCCTGGGGTCATAATTTGAACAATTTAAAATCTACACTACCCAACAATGATTTTGCATAAGTTTCAGCTTTTCTTTCCTAGTACTGGTAATGCCCAAGAAGAAGATTTTTATAGATTTTTCTTGTATATTTCAATGTAAAAGTTGGGTTCTCTATTGTGGTCCCACCCTACCCCAAGGGTCATAATTTAAATAATTTAGAATCTACACTACCCCAGGATGCTTCAGCATAAGTTTCAACTTTTCTGGCCAGTGGTTCTTTGGAAGAAGATTACGAATGATGAGGGAAAGATGTAACATGTATTCACATCTGAAAGTGCTAAGCTTCAACAAATCATTCTCAATACATGTACCGGTATTTAAAAGAGACGGGATATTTTGAAGATCTTGAATATTATATAATAAACTTACTGCCTTTGTTATGCAAATCATCTTTACTTTAGTCAAGGTTTCTCTTCTTAATACTGCACTGGCTAAATCAAGCTTAACATTGCTGAAAGAAGAGAAAGTGTTATAAAAGAGTACAGGACATCAATATCATTACAAACTAAAGTGTTCCAAGGAACACATATGTCACCTGCTTTTAGCTTCTTTAAAGATGTATCTATAAAATCTAAGAGTGGTCAGCTATTTTTAAGCTACTAGCATATACAGAATGCAACCCTCAACTGAATAATTAAGTTGAAATCATCATAAATAATTATTTATCATTTTACATGTTACATGTTTCAAAGCAATTGTCACATTGCACGATCCACTTTGTGAGATTCCATCCCAATGTATTTTCATAATATTAAGATATCAGTTTTTGTGGTTAACTGAATATCATATAGTTTAAAAGAACAGTTTTATGAGCTCATAAACATGTATAAAATTAATGTTAATTATCAACATACATCACTCAATATTCAAAAGTCTTTAGTTAATTTAAAGTTTCTGGGGTATATTTGTAAACTAGGTCAAAGTTCAAGTCAACTAAATACAGTACTAGCAAATAAGGGCAACAATATAAAAAAAAATTTCTTTGATGTACTCAGACTGACCCATCAAAAATACCCCAACCCAATCATTTTTTCAGCACTTTGAATTTTTGATTTAAAAAAAAATTGTTTTATTTATTAGAAATAGATACTGTTTCCTTTTAAAATTGTGGAATGTGATTTCTATTGGATGCTTTTAGATTAATATTTTTTAACAATATTATATATTTCATCTGTCTAGATATCCAGTGTGTATTGAAAATATTAATAAATTTCTGTCGAGTCTGGAATTTTTTAATGACACTTTGACATCAATTTGATCAATATTAAAAAGCCAAAAAAAGATACCTACCTACCCACCTTGAAAAATGTGTGTCAGAGTACATCAAACAAAAATATTTTAATTATGCTCTACGGTTTTTAAAAACAAGTACTTTAAATGAAAATCTTGGAATTAAGGAAACAGAAATTTTCAAATTAAGTTAAATCACATTTGAGCAGTATAGGACATTGCAGAAAAATACGATGCTGTTGAGGCCTGCCCTCTCCCAAATCAGGATTAGGTTGGTATATAGGTAGATGAGAAAATTATTCTCAGAAAAATTACCAGTAATTATAAATTAATATTGTGTCTCCAGAATACAAAAAAAGTTAATTGCTTCCTGGAGATAAAAAAATGTTTTGAGTCATTTTAGCCAGTTGGTTGGGAGAGGGCAATCAAAATTTTTTTTTCGAGATGATCACACTGAGAATATGAACTCTGAATATGTGCATGACAGCTAGTATTACCGGGTAATGGAAGATTCCCTCTGATGTTACATGTATATCAATTTTATTTTAAAGTCTGTACTCAGATGAAATGATTCAGTCTATCTTAACTTCTTGTGCTGATCAAACTATTCAGACATGTTCTTCTATTTAGTTTTTCTGTTTTTCTTTCATGAATACTACATATATAATTACTTTCTCATTTAAACTGCAAGGTCAAGACAAATCATTATTTTCTGAAACAGTACGTGCATATTCATCTACTTTATGCCTGGTTCTGCTAATTAATTCATCAATATGCATGCATGTATATAAATGACCATTATAGAACTCAATCCAAAGACTTGATGAAAAATTACATTCACATTTTAATTATAAAAAGTTTTGAAAAATAAATTCCAAAATGTGTCATCTATTGAAAACTGTTTTAATGTCCCCAGGTTGATACTACAATAAATGAAAAAATAAAAATGCACTTTAGATCTCTAGGTTATTATTTATTTGCCAAATGCATGTAGTATGTACAAGAAATGTTATAAATTGAAAATGAAAGTAGGAATATTTATATATAAAATTTTAAAACTAGTTACTAAGTTAACTAGCTGCTATATTCTTTTTGGTATTATTTCACCTAATTGTTTAACCATATTCGTGTTCTTTTATAATCATAGAAACACCCCTTTTCATTTTCCATACATGGGCTTACATACAGACCGTTACTGAACACGAACGGTTAACCATGAGCACTAACAAGAGAGCTGTTGTTCTAATGGCAGCAATATCACGCGTTTTGAAATATATTTATATATCTTAGCATTTGTAGACACTTCTTCCTTGTGTGTATATAAGCTAGGAAAACAACAACAGCTGCAAAAAGTACCATAGAATATATAAACAACTTACGTTTTTAAACACTGCGCCTGGCAAGCTTGCATCATCATGTCAACAGCCATTATCCACAAGTTGTTCTTCGTTAGATTCGGACTATTTTCTCGTAGTTTATAATTAAATTTGTTAAATGCTGTTAAAATTTATTATAATTCAAAGTAAAAGTTATATTATCGATAAAAGCAATTTAAATTAATTCCTTGAATTTTTAACGATTTTTTGGAAATTGACTTTGCAAAGGACGACAACTCCCTTCGAAAACTGGTTCCCGGCCCCGTAATCTAGACGCTAATGGACGAGTTTACCATGTTTAATCTCCGTAGACTTTGAATTTGCCGCCGTGTGTATACACTGGTTGACCTCGAGGGTTCGGATAAACGGAGGAAGGTTGGAAAAAAATGATCTATCGATCGGAACTGGGTTGAAAGCCAAGGTATTTATATATTTTGAGATTTTATGCGAAAAGTACTTACAGTAACTTGGTGGGACAGACTATAAAATATAAGTTTGTTTCCTCGTTTTCCAACCCTAACAACATAGTAAAGCAAAGCATTAAGCAAAAAATACAAATTAACAAAACGAACACTAATTAACTTTGAATGAAATATGAAGTAATGAACATTAATTAAGATCATAAATCCATTGAAACCAAAACATTGTAGGCAAACTTAATTTGTTATGCGATAAATGTGATGTTTTGTGGCCAAAATTTGGTTCTACATAATTCCTTGTGAAACTCTTGATTCCCTGTTGTACCCTCACTTTACTAGGGACCAATCGTGAGTCTAAAATACTTGATAATTATATTGCTTTATATTATTCAAGTTAAATCATTAAATCATTATATAAAGTATCAAAATTCTTTCATGTGTCATAGCTGTGTCTGTGTATGAGTATGAGTGAAGCAGCATCCATGGTCAATTGTGGTCTAAAACAGAGATGCTTATATAGGGTTTACATATACTAGTGGCAAAGCATGGGAAATTGAAGCTGATAAATCGTGCATAGTAAAACGTTGCAAGATTACATGAGACTCGTTGAGCAAAAGTCTCATGGTCGCACAACACACGCATATACAACTGCGATTCATCTTACGACCTTTAAAAATCGTGCCTCACTCTTGCGAGTACACAAAACGTTGTAAGATGCTCGCACTAATATTCGTGAGTTGAATTGCGATAAATGTGGATCGCATTTGGTCGCGTCTGAATAGTGTGCATGTCGACTATTTTGAGGAGACTTGATGCGACTACTAAAACGCATGCAACGAATGCGAAACATCGTGCAACGTATGCGAGAGCTCGGCGAGAGTTAGTGCGAAGCTAAAATTTTCCGATCGCAATGTGTTGTAAAGTGCTCGTGCGCCAATTGAGAAAGGGCCTTAACGAGAAATAAGTAATTTACCAATGCTGCTTTTCTTGACCTTTATGCACTTACACAGGATTTAATTATTAATTGACTGTTTGGGGTAACTTTCAGATTTGCAATATGAATATTTATCAAAAACTTTATGTTTTTCTATTTTAAAAATCATATTTGATAGAGAAATAGTAACCAAACACCAATCATTAAAAATATTCAATACACAAGTAAAATAAGCATATAATTATGAAAAGGAATGCATATCATTTCATGATATACATCGCAAAATTTACACACAATCTTCAATACATCTTTGAATCAGACACATTTATCAAGATATTGTACTCTTTAGTTGAAAACTGAAACCTGATTTTTTAAAGGGATTTTTTCATTCCCTCTCGATAATCGCAAACAGTAACTATTCAAAAGTTATCACAATACGTTGTATAATTTCATTAGATGAGATATAGTCCACAAGTCAAGATCTAGTAAATGAAAACTAGATAATAAGTCGTAGGTACGTCTTAGATTTTTTGTCAATTGGCAGCAGTACGCTTCCATAGTTACCACTTTGTCTAATCATCATTATATGTCATCATTTCCGGTCTGTTGTCTGCTATCACATCTGCATTGTCTGTAATCACATCTTGGTGAATTCCAATCCAACCTGGATTTTCCGTCATCTGGTTGTCAATATTTCCTTCCTCGCTGCCTCTTTTATAGCGAATAAGAATTACCACAACGGAATAAAGATGCAAAGCGAAGGACACACTGACAAGGACAAAAGAGTATGGAAACCATATCGACTGTAGAAATATCAGCATACACATTCCAATAAAACGAAGGAGCAGGGCAAACTCTAAAGTAACTGTAAATCAATAGTCAAATTAGGCCATGTTTGAATGCAAAAGAGTAAATATTACGAACAGATTTTAAAAAATCATCAATCTATATATACAATTGCAACACAAATCGGTAAACAAGAAATTAAAACGGAATCCCGAAAATTCGAAGGTGGGATAAGAATGTATTGGAGGAGAGAATATCCCCTGTTGATCGGACACGCCCGCCACACACAAAAGATAAACAAAATTTTGGCAAGAAAAAGCCAAAATACGACGTCATTCAAGTATTTGCTTACATGGGCATTATAACGACCATGGATTTTAAGAAATGCCCAATTTAAACGAGACTGTAGAAATCCTTATTTCCTCAACTTATTTGTGAGTAGCTATATCAGTTTAAAAAAATGGTCGTATTTAGAGCATAATTTTCAGTAGCGCTTCTATAAATTATAGGAGTCATAAACAATGATTCACACCATACGCAGGTGATAGGGAAATATTTCTTTACATAGTCAGCTCAGGTCATTTCGTTCTTAGTTGGTCCTAACGTGCCTTGTAAGTAAGATCGACTTCAAAATGTATATGAAGCAAATTTAGCAGGCTCGATAGCACAGTGTCTTTTATTTTAAATTCTCTGGGATATGTCGAGTCTACAAATGTTGACACACTGGCTGACCAAAGTTATATATAGGAAAATTCTTTAAAAATCTTCTCAAGAATAACAAAGCCATGATTGGTCATATGTATTTAAACGGAAGCATTCTCAAGTAGTGTAGATTCAAATTTGAGCAAATCATATCCCCCTTTAAGCAATAGTTGAGATTACTTTTGGGTTTAAATTTTATAATAATAAACTAATTTCAGCTTTTTTGCTAGCTACAGTGCTCAGGTGAGCTATGTGGCCCATGGGCCTCTTGCCTGGGAAAAGATATCCTTCTCTACTGATCCTATTTGTACGATGTGCTCAATTTTGACAAATAAGACTGATGTGCTTTGTAAAAGATAACTTGCATGACTCAGAAGTGAAATGAATGCAACGGAGCATGTCCCATTACCGCCAGGGCTACGTGATTCGAGCATGGACAGAACGTTCGCAGATGTGCATAAAATTCGGAATGAATACTGAAACCTAATCTACTTGTTATACTAAAGTTATTCAATTAATTCGCGAGGTATTTGATCACCCCTCAGCGATATATTTTCCTACAACAAGCAACCTTCAAACTAACAACTCGAAACAAGATTGTTTAAAAGGAAACAATGTACGTTTAATTGAAAATTTATTGAACTCAAATAAATAATCAACTGAAAAATACCTTGTTTGCATATAAAACAAGAGGCCCATGGGCCACATCGCTCACCTTATCACATGGGCTAGTTAAAAACACAAATCAGCTCAGTATTGAAAAGCCTACTTGTTGGGGGAGGTGGGAAGGGTTGAATTTTTTATTCCTTGAGAATGTCACTATATCAATAAAGCATTCATGTGTAATTTTGCCATATTTGAGAATAAAAATTTTATCATTTTTCCTGTATATATTTCTATGTAAAGATTTTAAAATTGCCCATTATAGCCCACCTTACCCCCAGGAGCCATGATATGAACAAATTTTATTATCTCTAACTGAGGATGTTTCTATATTAATTCCATCAATCAAAGCTTTGTTAATCTTGAGAAGAATATTTTAAGAAGATTTTTCCTATGTATTCCTGTGTAAAACTTTGATCAACCATTGTGGCCCGCCCTATATTCGAGAGTCATGATTTGAACAGACTTGAATTTACACTATCTGAAGATGCTTCCACATTATCTTCTGCATGTGTAAATTTATATAAATGTTACGAATGGAAAAAGTTACTTATAGGTCCAATGGGCCGGGTGCAGATTCAGTTTGACGTATTTTGTTTTCAATGTATACTGAAATGTCTATAATGTCACTATAATAAATGATTACTTATTTACTTAGTTTCATCTTTCCTGATCGCATGTTTTTTTTTTGTTTGTTTTTTTTAAAAGATTCTTCCTATATATTGCTATGTAAGACATTGGTCGGCAATTGTGGTCAACCCTATCCCCAGGGGTCATGATTTGAACAAACTTGAATCTACTCTACCTGAGGATGCTTCCACATAAGCTTCATCTTTCCTGAACCAATGGTTCTTGAGATGAAGATTTTTAAATATAAAAAATCCTATATATTTCTATGTATAAATTTGATCAGCCACTGTGGCCCCACCTTACCTCTGAGGGTCATGATTTGGACGAATTTGTATCTACATATCCAGAGGATGCTTCCACATGCGTTTCATCTTTCCTGGTCAAGTGGTTCTTCAGAAGATTTTTTAATAAATAATTTCCTACATTTTGCTATGTTAAAATTTGCTCATCCATTGTGGCCCCACCCTACCTCCGGGGTCATGATTTGAACATACTTGAATCTACACTACCTGAGGATGCTTCTACATGAGTTTCATCTTCCTAGGCCCAGTGGTTCTGGAGATGAAGATTTAAAAAAAAAATTCTATATATTTCTATGTAAAACTTTGATCACCAATTATAGCTCAGCCCTACCCCCGGGGTCATGATTTGAACAAACTTAAATATACATTATCTGAAGATGATTCCACCTGAGTTTCATCTTTCCTGGCCCAATGGTTTTGGAGAAAAAGATATTTTTAAAATACCATTAATCTTTCATTAATACATGATTATCTTCCTTTGGAAGAGGTATTGGTCCTTCATTTGAACAAACTTGAATTTCCTTTACCGAAGGATACTTTGTGGTAACTTTGGTTAAATTGACCCAGTGGTTCTTGAGAACAAGATTAAAATGTGAAAAGTTTACGTTGACAATGACATCAACGGTAGACAAAGGACAACTTTTGATCAGAAAAGCTTAATTGAGCCTTTGGCTCAAGTGAGCTAAAACACACTAAACCTTGCATCACTTTACTGATCTCTATATTTTCTTATGCTACACAATTTCACCACAACTCTGTTTGCTGATAAATGAGTAATGAAATCAATACCAATGTGGAGGTCAAGTATAGTATTAAAAATACTAAAATAAGAAAAAAATCATACACATACCATGATAGGAGATCAGACCTTAAAGTATTGATACAATTTATATCAATATGCTGATCCCCTCAATTTAAAACAAAATATGCAAAAAATAAAAACATGAAGTATAAAGCAAAAAATATGGCACATCAAAAAAATAATGCCACGAGATATGATTGCCAAACATAATTATAAGTGAAACATGGTACTGTGATAAATTGATCGATGATACATGTACATGTATAGTGATATATATATATATATTTACGTCCACTGAATATTTTCTTTTTATTCCTTGTGGCACAGTGGTTAGAGCGTCTGAACTAGAGTCGCAAAGTAAAGAGTTGATCCTAACGTCGTGGGTTCGAATCCCACCGTGGGACATTCTTTTTCTAAGGTAGAACTTTATATATTAAAGTGATGTTTCAGTTTGACGCTTAGCTTTAAGGATAATAACACAAGTAAAAATTTGATGCATGGATCGGTCTAAATTTTTGACTGATTCTGAATAAAATTTAAATAATAATAAATACCAAAACTACAAGTCTAAAGAAATCATAAGTTTTCTTTAGTGCTTTGATATGCGACTTTGTATCGTTTTCTGTGTAATTCGATACCAAATTTTGCACATATTTTGGCATTGTGACAAAATCTTACCAAATCCTCCAACTTTACCTGGAAAATATAAATTAGGTAGCCTAGGTTACATTATCTATGAATGTTAATCTATGCAAAAGATTGCTAATTTCTGAAAAATAAGTTTAAACCCTCTCTTCTCGTCTTCATCCTCCAGGTGCTGAGAAACGATTTCAAATTCCCTGATGTTACTCCTCGGTTCATATGGCATTTGATGAATCTCAGTGCTTAATTGGTATCTCTTATTGCGAATAAAAATCCTCACCACAGCAATTAGAATTAAAACTAGAGGTACTGTGAGCGATGAGCTCACTAAATGATACCCCCCGCCTCCCCTATGGTTATAAGTGGTGAAAAAGTCCATGTTTTCCTGTGGCCGGGAAACCCAAAATATGTGTCGGATCAAAAAGTAAAATAGGAGGTGCACAATGGCAATATGTAATAAAGATTCTGTGAAAGTTTCATCAAATTTCATTCAGTGGTATGAGAGGAGTTACGGATAAGAGATGGGTACCCCAAAGCGTAACAGACGGACGGACAGACAGACGGACGGACGTATAGACGGACGGACGGACGGACGGACGGAATTAACGATTACTATATACCCTCCCGCTTTTCAAGCGGGGGGTATAATGATACCAAAGCCAGCAAGAATAAGGGAGTACGGAACCTCGACATCCGAAAGCTCTAAGTAACTGTAACTTTTTTCGAGTTTTGATACTAAAGCAATGTGGCTAGCAGTAATGGCTATGAATCGGGCCAGGACTGCAAACTCTGATACTGCTGAAAATATAAAGAATAAAATATAAATGATGTTAGCAATCCGATTCAAGACATTCCATCATAACCTAATCAGAGAAAATATCCTCCTTGTTTGAATCAGAAATGTTGTCCAAATCTGCATTATAATATTTCTACGTCTTTGACTTAAAAGTGACATGGACAACCAATTTTTATGTTTACAATGCCCAACTAAGGCATCATTTAAGAGCCATTCTCTGTAATGATTTGAAATTTTATATAGGAGTTGTGGCACGCATAGTCTCAGAATTTCTTCAAACTCTCTATGATAAAAGGCATTGATACCCTGAACTGAAATCAGGCAAAAATTGGTTGCTATGTTTTATAGTTACCATGGCAACATGTCTTAAAGTTCGAAAAATGGCATTTTTTAACATGTTTAGAGCCCCATAGTTAACATTTGCGGCAAAGCAAACAATTGTTAATGACTGTTTCCAAAAGTTGAAGGTAAGATGTCTCAAATGCATGATAAACATGTTTGGTAAATCAACTATTACATACGTTACTATGGTAACAAAGTATTCAAAAGTAAAAAAAATATTCATTGAATTTTATGAAGTCATACTCGTAAAAATGAAAAGCAATTATAGGATGAAATGTTACCAAATAATAGAAAAAAGAGCCTTGAAACACATACCAAGAAAAAATATGATATTTCATTTTGGTTGGCAATGGTTGCCAAGGTTTTTATGCCGCAGAGAGCCTTCAAAGTAACACTATGTATGTTTAAATATGATCCTATCTTTTAAAAAAAGCACATTTCCTCATAACTAATGATCAATTTTATAAGATGTTGGTGTGCTCCAAGTTTTCCCATTTCAAAAAATTCAGATTAAATTCTTTAAATAGAGCGTTGCTATGGAAATAAGCAGAAAATATATGCTTAAAAACCTGAAAAATATTTTGTTTCCTTGGATACGTACCCTTAAATGTAGATTCCCAAAACTTTTATGATTGATATTTATTAACAGCTAACTTGACTTTTAATTTTGACTATCATCCAATCTCTAAGTGGATGCAAGAAGTTGGCACACAGGGTTTAATATTGATATAAAGTTCAAAAAATCGAACATTTTCCCTTCTTGGTAACCATAGCAACAGTGTTGTTTTATTCATCAAATTTTATCAATATATGATATTTAACTTCAGTTCTAACAGATAAGACTATTCCAGCTGAGCTCTTTAATTTGTTTCTTGATTAAATGGCAATTTAATTCTTAATGCAGCGGAAAAAAATTCACTTTTAAGCACTGGTACTTTGTTTCCATGGTAACACTACAAAGTAGCAATTATACCCAATTTTTCTTATTGTTTTGGTGTTGCAAGGTCCTAAGGATGCATATTTGCCAGTCTTGAATTTTCATGTTTTTCCTCAAGACAGTAGCATTAACCCAATCTTAGTTACTGGTTTTGCATGGTTACACTGTGTTACCATGGCAACCATAAATGTTATTTATAGAATAATATTGCTTATACTTATATACTTAAGGTCAAACATTTTCATTGTTTTTCTGAAGTCAATGATTGAGTTTTAGCATGTAACACCTACCATTAGTGAATATGGAGTGTTTTTCAGCATATTTCAGCATTTTAAATGTATTCCAAATGTACCCTTGGTTACCATTTACTTAGAGATATATTCTAAAAAGTCTCTTCATAGTATAAGTGACATCAAGGTGTCATGTTTTTGTTAGAATGGTTTGTTTGCTTTTTCTAGTTTTTATTAAGCCACAGTCAGGATTTAAAGTGGCTGAAAATTTCGATTTTTCAAACTTTTCCAGCTGTTGCCATAGCAACCGAGACACTTAGCAACGAAATTTTGTTTGATATTTGTTTCTGGTGTCAAGTACTAAGCATGGGTGAAGTTTCATCAAAATCGGTGACCATGCGTGGCAGCGAAGTTTAAGTGGTTACAGAGAATGGCAATTAATAATTTGCAAAAAAATGAAAAACATTTGTTGATTAGCAAAGGAGATACAGAACTTAAAGTTCTTCATAATGTAAATAAGGCACGAGCCTTGTTCTTGTTTACATACGGAAATATAATAATTAAAACAAAATGAAATTTAGCAAATCACTCAATCTAGTAATCAATTTTAGAAATAACTTCTTTATTGAAATAATCTGCATTGAAAGAACATATATTGGTAAATAAATATAAAGTTAAAGGAAAAAGAAACGCAGGGTAAACTTTTGAGGTGAATAAATTTTTTTTGAAAAATACTTTTTAGTTTTCCTATCTAACTTTTAAAATCATCTTTCAAAAAGATATAACCAAATTCTCATATAATTTTGTGTAATTATTCATGAGTTATTGAAGCTCAAATGACGATATCCCCCAAAAGGGAAAATCGAAAACTCTCACTATCTTCAATGTCCATCTCGTGCATCTGTCACAGTCTTATTTCTCCTTTGCATGGAATTTCATCAGAGTGTTTATCTTTCAAACCCTGGCTATATTTAGCATGGGTAACCACGCAAAAAAAATAAGTCAAACGGCGCGCGCATGCACCGGTGAGAGGAATGCAACAGTAAGTTGACTGGCTCAAAAAAACAAATTGCGGAATTGTTTTCTTTCAAATTTTGTATGAATGTAAGGAATATAATCGTGTTCACTATAAATGGCTGTCTTTGTGGTAGTAAGGTGGCGAATTAAGAGATGGCAGGACGAATAACCTGCTCATAACATGGATCTGTTTTGCGTTAACGTCATCGTCACGGTTTATTGAAATCCACTCTAGACACTCTCTGACAACGGCTAAAAAGTTTGATGGGGGAAAATTTACAAGAGACTGCTAAGTAAACCGTTGTTGCCTTTTTCATTTATTAGGCAATTCGAAAACAAGACGGCATTGAACTTCCGTAAACTGTGCCAAGATTGCAATAAATTCATAATGTCTCTTAATATTGAAAAACGATGTGCATACCTCATATGCATCAAATAATGCAACAAGATTTGTGGACAAACACGTCGTTATCAAATTGCACATGTTTTGGGCTTTTTAGCATTTTTCCTACGTGACGTCATAAATTTTAAGGTTGAGTAATTCTGAATACTGATTTTGATGTATAGTAACTAAATTTCTCATCTGACCAATTTTCGTAATTTTCGGTCAAATTCTTATCGACATTTATGCTACCCTGCGTTTCTTTTTCTTTTCAGTATATGTAAAAAAAACCCGTGACACAGACCATGTTTTCATCATTGTACATGTAAATGTTTAGAGCTCTAAATCTGTCTTGTATGTCGACAACTGAAGTTCAAATTTTTGATGATCGTTAAAAAGACCTTAGTTAAATATTTGTAAAAATGGAAAAAAAATGATTCTGAATTCTTTTTAGCTGAAACTGTGTCCATGTCCCTTTAAGAAAGTTGCATTTTTAAGTTTATGTCCCGCCACTTTATCAAAGAGCGTGTTTGTGTTAGAAATTGTGGAGTTAAAACACTCAGCAGAAAGACAAAGCACTGTTACCTGCCACTAGTAGAAATATTCCACCAGTCAAAAACATCACTGGAATTGGCGCTTTTTTCATGGTATTCGACAATAGAATCAACCAACCGATTCCACCAAGAACAACAGTAATAAGGCTTTCCAACTGCGCATCTATCATTGCTGAAAACGACACATTTTTCTTTCCTAAGGACTTTGATATTTATTTTTTATATTTAATTATCTGTAATACGTAAGAAGAATATGGTACCGATTTTGAGTGCTGCAAAAATCGAAGCTCCTCAAATTAGCATGTTTATTTTATTTTGAATACACACTGAAGTTACTAATACCGTATAGTGGGTTTTCTTGGCGGGTGTAAAATTTGGCGTTTTGTGTACTGAAAGGTATGAGAACTATTTGGCGTAATTCATTTTAGCGGACAGAGGGTTTCAGCTCTGTGCTAGACTCTAAGAAGAGTACTGACTATTTTGGCTATTAAAATTTTATCAAACTGTCATAAAAACGCTAAAATAAACCAAAATTAGCTTCCCACTAAAATAACCCGCTATACGGTATAAGAGGAAGAAGAAAGGGAGAAATGAAAGATATTAATTTACAGAGCTGGTTCAATCCATTCGTATCGTGTTCCTTATCATAAACTAGATAAGTCTTTGTTGACCATGAGTCAGATCCAGTCTCTTTATAGTTAAAGTAAAAGATGCTCATTCTTTTATTCTACAATAGAATAGATGTAAAGAGATTTGTATTTTCTTAACTCTGCAAAACACAGATAGAGATCTAATCACTCTTTATTGTAATATTTCATAAAAGATATAGATTACCTGATTAATGAAGAAGCCAGGTGTTACAATGGCAATACCACAGAAAACTAAACCTAATGCAGCCGAGAATAAATCGGCAACAAGCACTTTGTTTCGGGCCATTTTTCTCCAACGAAAGAATCTAAAAGTAAAGGCTAGACTGAGAATTGACATCTTATATCCTAAAACTTAATTATTGCCAATACCCCCTCCCCCCACGCTTTCCATCTCTCTCTAACATATGACCTTATCTAACCAGCTTTATTAAAAGCCTTTAGGGACCCCCATGTAATGTTCTATGTACAGTTATTTTCATTACATAAGTTTTAAAATCTCAACTTTTTATGCTGCTATAAAGCAGACTACACTGATCACATGTGCAATTGGAACATTTTATTTACTATGCTAACAATATAATTGTTTATTTCTCCATTTCTTTCATGCAAATTTTTCAGGCGGGATGTCAACATTACCGCGTCATCTTCAAAAATTGTATACTTGTTAAGGTTACATTCTTTTCTTTAAATTTTCGACCTATCATTACCGCTACATTTATTGGTCGAAAACAATTTATTATAGCTACAAACTGAATCCGCCGAAAACAACTCTTTACCGCTACATATTGAACCAGCCAGTTATGGTACGGAAAAGAGTTTCAATCACAAAAGCTTTCACAAAGAATTTTTGCTATCCATTTTTGCCTGTAGTCGTGCGCGGTGAGTCGGTTGTTAACTTCCGAAAATTTCAACTTCATGTCTTGAATCACTTATGTATAACAAATTTCAATCAAGTTTTGCATATATGTAAAGCATTTATAGGAAAAGGATATAAAAATTGTAAATTTTATGGTAACTCCCCCCCCCCTTCGCGGAATGGGAGTAAAACAATCGAAATTAGTCTTACATGTATCCTAAAGAAATGTCTTTTATCTCCTGTAAACCAAGCAGTGAACCTGTTGGCTTGATTACAATCACAATAAAGTGTAAGTTCACTGCCAAAATTGATTATGAAAAGTTGATTTAAAAAAATTCTCAAATAAACAATGTACTCAGTAACGGTATCTTTTTCTCTCATCGCTTGTATATGTATTCTTTTTACAGTTGTATGTTGCTTGTTTTACTGTACTACATGTATTTGGAAGACATTCATCCATAATAAAGTCTCTTTTCAATGATGAAATATAACTTCAAGTAATAGTATTTCATAAAAAAAAACATGTGCCTATAAATGAAAGAAGTAATTTCAGTTAAAAAGCATTTCTCTAAAATGATGAATTACTTAAAATACTAAATATACACATAAATACCTGCACTCCTCTACGACTGTGGGTATGTCAGTCAAATTAAGAGTAACCGTCACCTTGTGACATGCAACTATGTCAGTCAGGTGATTTAAACCAGTATTTCGTAACTCCTCTGTAAAATAGCTGAATTGGTCAGACGGTTCATGAATATTTGGATTCCGTATATTGATTACCAGTAAACTTGGTTTACATATGACAGTTCAGACAAAAAAGCTCACAGGCCTGTTTAACAAAATGTCCTCAATAAAAGAACGTACAGGATTGGTTTTTTTTAACACAGCAATTATACCACAGTTGTTCCATTCAATACGGATCCTTCTTCCTAGTGTATGATGTTACGCTCTATATATCATAAACTTTAGCTGAATTGTTTAAAGACTGTTTAAAAAGAGTCAGTGCAGAGCGTAATTCCAATAAACAAGAGCATATTTCAAAAATATCTACAGAAAACATTTCTGTAATACTAGTAGGTCGAAAGTGCGGATGCAGGGATTTTTTACAAAGGAGGTTAGGGTCCCTACATACCGGTATATACTATTTTGATAATGTTTACAAGTTAAAAAAACGTCTTTCCCAAAGGTAAAAACCTTGTTTAGTTTGGATAGGGGTGTAGGGGTTTAACTTTCCCATTCATTTCTAAATGCTTCTGTATTCAGGTGATGTAGGTATATTGCTGCACCAGTAAGGGAAGTTGATGATCGTAAATTTAAATTCATCAGGTTTATCATAAAGATCAGTTGTTAGATTACGATTAACGTCTTTTTCAAGTAAAATATCCAGATATGAAACAGATGTGTGAAGATAACCTAGCTTATGTCAGGAATTTGATTTCGCCAAAAGTTTACACTATTTCTAAAGAAATCCACATAAGAAAAACACAATCATAATAGTTTTAATGCTTTAACTCATAACAACTGATGAGGAGGCAATTATGAAAGTTAGACTCAAAATAATAAATACTTGTACATGTAAATGTCACCTCCATTCAGTCTTAAAGGAGGTGATTTGGCATTCTTCTTTAAGACAGAATATTAGTGATTCCACTTGCTTTCCCTTATCTGTCTACTTTCTCCTGAACATATTTTATTTAAATATAGAGAAGAACCTTAAACAGTTCTTGTCGCTCTGATTTTTTTTTAGAAAATCATAGCGTCTACTGTAACGAAGAACGGCTTCTTCTTGTACTTAAATGGTCCTTTTGTGGTAGAATTTTGTATATTTTCCCAGCTGATCTCAGATAATTGTAGATGGGTAATAGTATGCTAAAAAGAAACATTTTTAAGAAGATTGGTTAATAAAAGGTTTTTACAATTATTAATGGCCAAAACTTAACATTTACTTTGATATACATGTATTGACATTGCTGTTTAATACAATTTTGAAACACCATGATTGCAACTACAGCAGCCCTTAAATTAAATGAGTTACAGTTCACAAATCCTCAGAAAGAGTCCTGCCTACTCTGGGTCCATGCGCCACCATTTTCAGTACTGCTGGAGCTTTCAATATAGCATTTTTACATGTATTTATTTTTAATTAAAGTTTACTTCATCATACATAATTAAAATCAAATGACATTTAATTTGTACGAAACATTGGTAGATATATATTCTAATGACAAGAGATTTTAAACCCATGTTAAATTTAGTTGTTCTTCATCGGTTTTGATAAAAAAAAAAGATTTTCCCCGTCTTCATCTCCAAGGAGATATTTGGGGGCAACATCGTTGATGTAATGTTATGAAAATAAAACCAATTCAAAATTAAATATTGTTAATAAACATTGTGCTATTGTACATGTTCTAGAGTAGATTAGTTTCGATTATTTTCACTGTACGAATTCATTTTGAAGATTTGAGTTTGTTTCCTCGTTCTCCAACCTCCAACTCTAACAACATATTAAAGCAAAGCACAAAGCAAAATATGTATATAAATTAACAAAACTAACACTAATTAACTTTGAATGAAACATGAAGTAATGAACATGAATCAAACTCATCAATCCAATAAAACCAAAATATTGTAAGCAAACGTAATACAGAACTCTAAAATTTGTTATGCTTTTGATATTAATGTGTTGTTTTGTGGCCAAGATTTGTTTCTACATAAAACCTTATGAAACACATGATTCCCTGTTGTACCTTGACTTTACTGGGAACCAAACTTGAGTCCAAAATACTTAATATATTGCTTTATCATTAAAGTTAAATTTTAAAATCTTTATATGAATTATCAAAATTCTTTCATATATCATAGTACTCCTGGGACATCTATTACCTACAGAAGCGTTTAACTACCATACTGAGTGGTGCAAACGAGATAGTTTGTCGTACGTACGACATATGAAGTCGTACTTACGAGTTATTATGTCGTGAGAACGAGATACTTTGATAAGTCCACATTAAAAGATATAGGCAAATGAATTGTAATATTTTATCTATGTATTCTAATTTAAATACATGTATGATGAAGAACATACCCAAATGATTACAAAAAGTGATTTATGTATTTACCTTTCCCCGCAAACTAACGAGAAATAGTTTTTTACCAATGCTGCTTTGTTGAGCTTTATGGACTTACACAGGATTTAATCATAAATTGTCTGTTTAGGGTATCTTTCAGAATTACAATGTGAATATTTATAAAAAATTGTATGTTTTCTATTTTAAAAGATCATATTTGATAGAGATATAGTAACCAAACACCATCCATTAAAAACATTCAATAGACATGTATAATAAGCATATAATTATGAAAAGGAATGCACATCATTTCATGATATACATCGCAAAATTTACACACAATCTTCAATACATCTTTGAATCAGACACATTTATCAAGATATTGTACTCTTTAGTTGAAAACTGAAACCTGATTTTTTAAAGGGATTTTTTCATTCCCTCTCGATAATCGCAAACAGTAACTATTAACAAGTTATCACAATAAGTTGTATAATTTCATTAGATGAGATATAGTCCACAAGTCAAGATCTGGTAAATGAAAACTAGATAATAAGTCGTACATACGTCTTAGATTTTTTTCAATTGGCAGCAGTACGCTTCGGTAGTTACCACTTCGTCATATCATCATTATCTGTCATCATATCCAGTCTGTTGTCTGCTATCACATCTGCATTGTCTGTAAGCACATCTTGGTGAATTCCCATACAACCTGGATTTTCCTTCATCTGGTTGTCATTATTTCCTTCCTCGTTGCCTCTTTTATAGCGAATAAGAATTACCACAAGGGAATAAAGATGCAAAGCAAAGGACACGCAGGCAAGGACAAAAGAATATGGAAACCATAAAGACCGATGAAATATCAGTATACACATTCCAATAAAACGAAGAAGCAGGGCAAACTCCAAAGTAACTGTAAATTAATAATTAAAATAGGGTCATGTTTGAATTGTAAAAGAGGAAAGATAACGAACAGATTTCAAAAATTTCATAAATCTAAATCATAAATTCATGATTTCATAAATCCTTGTGTCCTCAACAAATTTGTGGGTAGCTACATCAGTTTTTTTTAAAAAATAGGTCGTACTTAGAACATAATTTTCAGTAGCTCTTTTGTAAATCATAGGATTCATAATGATTAAGAACATATACAAGTGATAGGGATATTTTTTTTTACATATACATGTCATCTCATATGCCATATCATTTAGTTCTTAATTAATTGGTCCTATCGCCTCTTGTACGTTATATCGACTTCAAAATGTATTTGAAACAAATTTGGCAGACTCGATATACAGTGTCTTTTATTTGAAATTCACTGGGACATATCGAGTCTACAAATGTTTAATTGTATTTTGTTTTATAGGGATTTTTACTCGTAAAGAGACGTCAACCTCTACAGATACTACAAGTAAGAGCCTCGGTTAACGTCCCCATGCTCCTTATATACCTCGGACTCTTACATCCGAAGGCCATTTTCGAACGAGCTCGTTCCGCCCCAGAATTTGGGCGGAACATATTATGTGTGAAATAAACTGTTAACAAGTAATTTTCAGGTATCTACGTGTTTGCATGAGGTATGAAAGTCACAAGAAATAATTAAATACATTTTATTCAGTGTGCGTTATTGTTCATTAATGAAAATTGTCATTATTCCAATTTGTCACCAGAAGTACTTTCGATTTGAATGACATTAATTTTGAGTATTGCTAGTCAGAAAACGAAATTTTCGTTGCGTTAAACTAGTTTCGTTTGTCAGATTTTTTAGACTCCATTCCCGAATTTTAAAAAGACGAATTGTTTCAATTTCTGCATCGATTTTTAAAAATAATGGATTTATTGCTAATACGAGAGATTAACGATGTTTTATGCGTAAGTTTTATCGTAAAAAGTGAGTATTTTATTGTTTCGTGCCATTCGTTAATATACAAAGCCTTATCTTTCAATCAAATATTTTTTTCCACTTGGGGTTTCAGCGGCGAGAATTTTTACAATGGATGCCCAAGGTTACGCGGCGCCAAGTCAAAAGTATCTCGCCGTGAACCTCTAGCATGCTGGAGTACCTCTACGGATAAAAGTACTTCGATCGCAGAACAATACTTAGCACTCCCAACCATTGAGCAGTGAGGGTTATTCATCATGCTATGGTCACCCAAGACATATGGTTTAAGTTTTAATGTCTCATTTGAAGGATCCAAAGACACTTTAAGTTAACTTTTGGCCGTTCTGGTGCCGAGCGCTTGGTGAAGGAACATTTGTTTCAAATGTTTACGCTTTAGTTCTGACGATGCGCACCAAACCAAAATTGAATCCTCGCCTCCCGATCATGTACAGTCGATATATGAATAAAAATTTCTATTGTTCATATGTTGTGTTTCACGGGTATATCCATTAAAGAAATTAACATTTTAAATATTGTTATTTCATATAACAATCCAAAATTCCTTTGATTTTAAATTTTTGAAATACAATTGAATCTAAGAAAAAAAATGCAAACCTCCTACACACAGAAAGATTCCACTTGATATATATGCTACAGGCTTAACCATTACGTGCTTAGATACTCTCTTGCTGTTCAAAATGAAGACCAGAATGCCGGCCCCGGATAACACAACATTAATGACACAGTTAATCTGAAGACCGATAATACCAAATTCTGAAAATATAAAATTTAATTTAATTATATACATGTACATTTATAATAACAACTTTAAAGTATTTTGTATAAAAATATTTCAAATATATTATATTTTTTGTATATAACAAACGAAAGAGAAGGGGAGAACCATCACGTGATCTGTCAAGAAAAGATGTCGTCCGACTATTGTCTCCTTCATAAGTCCTTGAGTAGAATATTCCAATCCAAGTTGTACTATGTGTTTCCTGTAATAACAAATACAATTATTTTTCTATTTAATTGGTAGGAAATGCATTTTTCATTAGTGCCATTTATCATTATATATTTATGACCATTACCTCGTACATTATCCAACCCGGTGTTGCAAATGCAACGATCTTGAACAACAAACCAAGCAGTAAAGCAACAGGAAGAGCTCTGGTTTTAACCATCCTAGTTTCCTCTGAAAAAAAAACCCGCATACAACTCACCTTTTGGTCAAATAATTGCTACTTTTGAATTTGTTTACAGTGTATTTATATTTTGGGGGATATTTTTTTTGGCCTTTTTGTCTTGGAAATAAATATACTCTTGATATTTTCTTGATTTAGCGGCTTTTAGTTCTTTTCTACAAAAGGTGATATAGAAAATACATCGCTAAATGTAAAAGGTCTTCAGTATATATACTCAACAAAGAAAGTTAAGGATTATGAAAACCTGCATTTATAATTTCTACATCGAAAAGGTATATTTAATCAAAATACATAATTACCTCTGTAAAGTTATAACACATTTGACAAAAAAGTAATGGTAAATGTTCACTTGGACAGAAGAACAAGATTAACAAGATGGATACCCTTATTTCTAATGTGAATTTTCATATACAGTAATTGCATAATTTGTTTAATTAAAGACTGACAATTATCCTGACAACTCTCAATACTTGGTGTGGCCTACCCTTGCCTGAATAACAGCACTGCATCGCCTGGGGAAACTTCGAATTAGTGAACGGATGGTCCTTTGAGGTATCCGATCCCATTCCTCTAACAGAGCAACTTCAAGTTCATTGGTGTTGCATGGGGCAGGGTACCGCTGCTGAATTTGCCTCTGAAGAACATCCCAGGCATATTCAATAGGACTGAGGTCTGGTGACTTCGAAGGTTACTACATTCTCTCGATAGTCTCTGCCTCAAGGCACTGGTTTACGATGTTTGCTCTGTGTAGCCTGGCGTTTTCATCCATCAAAATGAATTGCCTTCCTATTGCCCCAGCAAATGTTCTCACAATTGGCTGAATGATCTCATCTCTGTATCTGACACCGGTCAATACACCATTTCTGATGATGTGGACCCCTGAATAGAAATGCCTCCCCACACCATAACAGAACCATCACCAAAGCGATCATGTTGAGCCACACAGCAGTCGCGTGTTCGAAAGTAGCTGTACAATGATATATTTGTAAATATATACAGTATTGTACACTTACTCATAGAATGAATTATATTTCGTTCTTCTTTAGCTGAAAAAAAGTCGTTAATGTCAACTATTTGACGAAGACATTTTAGCACAGTATTCTGACCTGCAATTAGAACTAACACTCCCCCTATGACAGCCTTTTTGGGGTTTGAACGCCATTTTTTGACGGAAGCCCAAAGAATCCGACAGCCGACCCCGCACAGAAGAAGAGAGAGTATGCTGGCAAAATGAATATCAAGGAGGGCTAGAAAAAAAATTTCAATAAAAACTCAATAGCTTCTCTTTCTATTAAAAATGTAAGTTCCGTTTTCATGTTGAAGAAACAGTAAACATTGCCAAAATGAGGAAAGATTGCACTCGTATCATTAATCCCCCCCACGAGTACCTGCACGCAAACATATCCACCCCCCCCCACACACACACACCCTGAGAGAGAGAGAGAGAGATACTTACGCAAACTAAACTAAAAGGTTGACAGGCAGGCGGTTTCCCGTGAACAGGATACAGTATAAAAGATACTTTGATAGTTATTTTCTGTTGATCCATAAAATAGACTCAAATGAAGTATGTCATTATTAATTCCGATTTTATTATCTTCATTATAATACATGATATACAGTCATCATACAGTATTTGGCATGTCAAACGTTGCAATATCTATATTGTATCATTTTCCATTTGTATGGTATAATTTTTATTATGTCGCCCCGAGCGAAGTCGGGCGACATATTGCGATTGTACGCATGAATTTGTTGTCCAGGCTGTTTCTCGGAGATGGCTGGGACAATATTCCTTAAACTTTCCTCAAAGGACGACCACTGGTTGTTGTTGTTTGTGTGGTAATTCAGTTTCAAATGGCTATTGTTGCCATGGAAACCTGCACAAAGGGAGGAATTTTGTCCACGAGTGTTCTCTCTGGTCCCTTGAACATTCGTCATAAAACTTTTTTTATTTTAGGGAATAGTAATTGTAGTTGTGCGATTCGCATTTAAAATTTTGAAATAATCGATTATTGCCGTGGAAACCAGGCGAAAGTGAAAACATTTAACTTTGAATTTTAAATCAAAGTACTGAAAGTACTGATGCGAATTGATGGTTGTCCAAGCTTAGCTAATGGGTATTGTTTTAGTGAAACAATAAATGAAAGTCTTGTCCGAAATTATCAATAGTTGCCATGGAAATAGGGGAACAGTTCGTGGCGACATACGCTATTGCTTGCAATTGCAGACTCTCTAGTTAGCCGGGCTTATTGCTCAAAGAGTTATTGGCCGACTTATGTCAGCCTTTTCAAGACACCCCCAGAGTCGTCAAATTATTTGTTTTGAATAATTTTCCATTTGATTTGTTTATATAATGATTATTTCCTATCTCTATTGATTAATTAATTATTCTATCGATTAATTTCGTATTTGTATTCAACAATTTTTTTCATTTGTATTGTATCTAAGGGACTTTTTCTATATATATATTTTCGCTTACAAAGGATTTCATTGATCAAGTTTAAGTCTTTCTATAGTATTGTGGTCAAACAAGCGAGACATTTTTCGGGTGAACTGGCTCCTCAAACGTATTTGCTTTTATGCGAAGGTACTTCGGGGGGGGGGGGCTGGCAAATCTGGTCGATTTAGATTATTTATTTCCGTGCTCTTGCAGGAAAGAATATTTATGTCTAAGATGACGAGAGACAAGAAGAAAAAGAAAATCTCCTCGAACCCAAACATTCCATTTCTTGAGGGGGGAGAGTGCTAAGGTACCACCAGTCAAGATCAAATTATTTATTTCCTTTGACAACATTTCAAAGGACATATTATTCATTTACAATCTGCCAGCGCTCCTCTTTTACCTTAATATTAATTTTAATATATCTTAATATACGCAAATACAACCATCAACTCCTATCAGTACTTTCAGTACTTTGGTTTAAAAATCAAAATTTAAGAAGTTTAACTTTCCTCTGCTATCCATGACAATAATCGATTATTTCAAAATTTTAAATGCGAATAACGCATCTACAAAGTTCTACTAATCAATAAAATAAAAAAGTTTTACCACGAATGTTTAAGAGAGAACACTCACGGACAAAATTCAACGCTTTTTGCAGGTTTTCATGGCAACGGTAGCCATTTTGAAACTGAATGACCACATGGCACAACTTCAACCAACGATAACTACAACCACTGCATCCCTCCTTTGAGGAAAGTTTCAGGAATATTATCCCAGCCATCTCCGAGAAACAGCCTGGACACCAAAAACATGCTTACAATCGCAATACAAATGGAAAATTGCAATGTTTGACGTGCCAAGATTGACGGAGTGTTGTGATAGATTCATTTTATGCATTTGTAACCAATAGCTTCTAATTCTAATCTTAATGTGATTTAAATTTACGATTAAAATTGTTTTTTTAATGTTTACAATACATAAAAAAGTATTTTGAATTATTTGAAAGTAAATTAAATATAACTTAAATACCGTTCAGTTTTTGGTAAATTATCCATCCCGGTGTTAAAAGGGCAACTATCCAGGAAAACAAGGCAACTGGTATAGCATAGACAGGAACTCGAGTATCCAACATACCGGTCAATTCTGATTAAGTACATGTACAATTCTCTAGTCTAAAAATATAAACTGTTTTCTTTCTGTCGACGTGTAAATCACTTTTCTTTAAACCTTATTCAATTGCTGGTTGATTTTATACCTGTATTGCTGAAAAAAGTATCATGACTACATACATATAAATATTTAACACTTATTTTTGAATTATGCGCAGTTAACTACTACTTATCTTGGTTTTTCCAAATGTAAATTAATCTCACCTTGATAAATTGTTTTTAACATCTTTGTATGTAAATAAAAATGACAGGTAAGTTCCTATTTAGTGAGGCATGACATATCGAAGTGACTGGACTCAAAAGGAATATCAGGAAAAATACCATTTGAAATAGAAATCTTTCTTATCGGATAATCCTGAATCTATTTCCCTGAAACTAAAGTTCTTCTAAAGAGGACTGGGTGGTCATTGTCGTTTTAATTTAGTAAATTTAGTTATGACTACTAAGTGGTCATACATGTAGTCGTTTCAAGCTTGGGGTATAATAAGAACATTAAAACAACGATGATAGAATTTACAGAATGCTGACTTAAAACGAAGTTATTGAAATCCTTGCAACATCAACCAATGCGCAATAGCTCGCCTTGACCAGAAAATTTTCGAAATTTATTTTCTTTAAATGAGATTGTGGAAAATAGTGTATCATCAACTTATTAGTTGTAATAATCCTGCTTGTTTCAGAAAATAATCGCAGGTATAACACACTTTAGCATATCGATTCAAATGGAAGACATAAACCCATTATGTGGTGATACTGATTTTTTGCTGCATAAAATAAAAATAATGACGTAAGAAAAGTTGATTGGTAATTTTATTCAACATATTTTCATCCTATTTGAGAGTTTTTAACACGCATAGGGCAACACAATATGCAGGTAAAGGGCTTCAAATTTAGGCCTATACTCAGCACACTGGGTAATAGAGCACTGAGGGTTCTTACCGTGCCAACGCCAACCGTGACACATGAGCTTGGTTTTTAAGGTCTCCTCCAAAACCTTATTTCTATCACTTCTAGTGCCTGACACTTAGCAAAGAAAGAACGACTACCTTTATTTTTGTGTCTTAGGTTTGAAATTATATTTTTCAAAGATTTTGATATATTGATTTTTGAAAAATAATTATTATTTTAATTGTCAAAAAAATCAGGACTATCGTCAGACATGTTCAGTCAGATTACCATCTCCAAAACTGCAGGAACGGGTTGATACATGTTTTATAATATTTAGCATCAGTGGAAAGTATTCCCGACTTAAGAGATTGAAGTAGGATACTTGATCTGAAAAAAGATCAAGCTTAGACACTCGGCTTAGTACACGGAGGGGAACACGGGACAAGATGTGCGCCACCAAGTTCCCGACTTAAAGGTCCCATCACTATCCCTGAGAAACAAGGAGCATACACAACTCTGGCCAAGTATGAAGTAAACAAAAAAAATATATCCGGGATAATTAGGAATATAGAAATGCTTTCCTCCCTAGGTATTATAGTTTACAGGCACCGAGCTGAACAATGGACATTTAATATACTCGTCCATTGCTCAATACTGTTAACTTTTCTTGGGTAGTTTTCGAAGAAGATCGACTATATTTATGTAATCCGCCATTTCGTTGTAAATATTGGCAGAAAGTCTCAGGTAAAGTTCATTTTGGACTGGATAAATAACACAGTTTATTTTATGTTGATTCATAATATCCATGTAGAGTTTCTCTGATCCCTCCTAAAATTAAATTTAAAAAAAAACATTTTTAACAAAAAATCTGATATCAACACATAATTTTCAGAAATTTTCCATTAAATTTGATCAAGACCATGCGCTTCGTAAAGCACATAACTGTTTAGATAAAAGAAAAAGGAATAGACAGGGAGGAAAAGTTGCTTTGCGCATGGAAATTATAATTTGTTATAATAATATAATACACTCAAGATATGTTTATACATGTTAGAAAGTACTGTTATATACAATTTCTTAAATTATGCTATGTTAAAGCCTCACAAGATTTCACTTTAAGATGTATAGGTAAAATTTTCGTATATCTTACAACCTAAGTTTTCTCATAGCCTTCATATTCATATTCCAGTAGCAATACAAGTTTTATTACAGTTAATATATCTTACCCATGTCTTGTCATAGCCCTCGTATTCTGGTAACAATACAAGTCTCATGCCTGGAGCCTCCATTGATTTCGGGATCTGCAGTACCTCTGTACCCAGTCTCTCTGCTACCAACTCACTGGCTTTGTCCAATAGGTCACTTGTATACTTGTTTAATTTTTCCTAGATAATAAATGTTAAAATATGTATCTTTTTTCTTAAAAAAACACGGCTGCAAGAATACTGTTTTATTTGAATAATGTCTAATTAAGTAATTAATTAATCAATTAAAAAAGGTTGAAGATAACGAACAGCAATCAGACTCAAGAAATCTACAAACAAAACTGTGAAGAGGTTCCTTGGAAATTCCTGGTATGATAAGGAGAGAAAGCATCCCCTGTCGAAAGATAGTGATTTTAAATGTAACTCACCATTCCTCCAATGTCTTTGTAAAACTGAATAGCTTCTGGTACACAGAAGTACGGTATGTCATCTCGTGTCCCTTGAATACAGTATTCAAACTGAATACCCTTTTTGTACATGTGTGACGTCACAAGAGGAGTGCACCAATCATGGTGTTCCTTACGAATCCAAAGAAAGGCACATCCTCGTGGTGTAAACATCCACTTATGAAAGTTTCCAGTGTAAAAGTCTGGATCAAGTTCTTCTAAATTTATCGCAACTTGTCCCGGTGCATGCGCACCGTCTATCAGCACCATTACCCCTCGCTTCCTACATTCCGCTATCATTTTCTTTATCGGGAACACTAGAGCTGTAGGACTTGTAATATGGTCTAAAAAATAGTAAGATGATGCTCTTATGTTGGAATATAGTAGACTTAATTTTATCATGAGATAAATTGAGGAAGTTTTATAAACTTAGGGTTTTACGTGATACCATTTGATATTTCATTGAGTTATTACCCAATACTACAAGTCTGATTCTAGGATGCTTGTCCAGAAATGATGTCATACTGTCAACAACTTCTGATTCGTCGTTGATCGGGAAGCGTATATCAAACTGATGAATGTGTCCTCCTATGAAGAAAACAGAAATGTCCAATTTAATGAATAACAAAAATTATTACACGATTGTATACTTAAACTTTTTTATCGTAAACTTCACCTATAAAGTAATATTTCACTATCACCTGTTTGTTTTGTTTATTTAAACAATAAATGCTTTCTTTGTTTGTTATTACTGGAATTAACGGAAGCAGCTGTTGCAGAAAAAAAGTTTAATTATTGTATTAATGATGCGAACGTCTTTATACGTTTCATTGATGGAACAGCCACTGATCAAGAAATCTGTACAGGCGACATGCCTAATGTAGTTCATGCAGTGATTAACGCAATGGGTTTTCTTAAGAAATAAAGGAGAAATTATTCAATGGATGTAAATATTTGCTAATAAATAGCCTGCTCTAAGTACGTTCAATTTTTAAAGTTAGGCAAGCTATTTACTTATAAGTTGAGGTGACATTGATTTAAAAAATTTGGTTTGAAGTTGGCATTTCGTATTAAATTTTGCGGTCACTATGATGACCTAGTTGGCAAATATAACTTATATTTGGATCGTATTTTACTTGACTTGTTGCAACCAATTGATAGGTCGTCGTTTCTGATACTGAATTAAATACGGAAAGTTCGATTGAGATCGATAACTCTTCGTTAACAGAACGTTATCTACACCTTTTACATTGTAAATATATATTAAAGGGTAAAAGACAAGCATAAAACCTAATGTGCGAAAACGTTCTAACACCATGGCCGAAAATAAAGAAAATTTTTCACAAAAGGATGTAGGTTACAGCGCAAAAACTATGTAAATGTTATAGAGTTCAGGTTTGTCAACACATTTTGTAAAAAAAAAAACAAAAAAAAACATGATACTTAAAGACAATATGATTTTTCGCACTCTGGAGGAAGTCTTCTAGGGATGGAAGTTTTGTGTTTTAACACCAGATTTAATACATTGTGATGGGCAGTATAGTTAATCACAAAATGATGAATACTCTTTAGTTTGTTGGTAACATATACGGAAAAGTTTTATATGAAATAAGAAATTAGATAAAATGTTCAACGCAGTCTGGTCTTTGTATGGATTAGGATATACCTGTTGAAAACTCGGCTGCCTTTCGACAAGCATATTCGACAGCTTTGTAAGTATAAACGGTCGCCAAAATCTCGTCACCTTTCTGCCAAGGGAATGCTTTCAGGACGCTGTTTACGCCTAGAATGAAAAGGATAAAAATGACATTATTGTTCAAAATATGACAAGGAAATGTTTCTTTGAATTTCGATTTTATGTGCACGAAATACATTCTTTGTAAGTTGTCAATATTTACATTTCTGAATGTTTCTTTTAAATTTCGGTGAGTTGATTTATATACAATTCTACCGGAATGTAAATTTTGCAACGTTAAAGTCACGAGCTAATAGAGGCCTAATATGCATGTAAATCATGCTGCTGTCTTTCTGTCTGCTGTCAGTGGGCGGGGACTATTGAAATTGACACGTGAGTTATTTTAAATCTATTAGATAGAATTTAAAATTTATATTTACAATTTTGATAGTTGGATAACTTATGAATGGCGGGTTTCGCTTTTTATGCAAATTATCCCCCGTTTCCAACTATCATTTATTCCCTTGCATACCCTACAAACTAAACAGTAATTTCTCTAATACCTGTTGTGGCATTTTGTACAAACACCAAGTTCTTTGGATCCGCCCCTAGAAACTTTGAAGCGGCATCTATAGAGGCACCGAACAGTTGAATGAGCGTTCGCCTGTAGAACACGTCTGGGTTATCATTCATGTCATCTAGTAATCTATAAAGGGTCTCATTGAGGTAAAAATAAAACTGAAATAATTTTTAAATTCCAATTAATTTGAAATATTTTGAATTATTTATTCTAATACATTTTTCATCACACCACATCATGTAACACTGTGGACGTCATGTCGGATTGTCCCAAAAAGTCGTAGACAGGGAAAAAAGTTTTGTTTCTCTTTGCTTAATTAAATTTCTTTCCATGTTATAGCAAAGAGTAACATTTTATAACTATGCACTTCAAGTTTCATGATGATATTAAATCTTATAAGAAAATTATGAAAAAATAAAGAAAGAATATAAGTGTACACCGGCGCACGAAAGCAGGCGTAAATTACGTCTCTTATAACGTCATGATCTCTTTGTCTGCTTCACTCGCGGGTATTTACATTCAATATTTTTTTTAAGGGAAAGACCACTCTTGATAAAGGGAATAAATTCACTACTGTCCGTTTGTTTTTTTACTTGTTTTTTTTAAAGCAGATTCAAATTTCAGTCGAAATTTAGTCGAAAAATCGCCTAACATTTTAGGCAGCAGAGAATACATATTGTTTGACGTCGTTCGCGGTCCAGATTGTCCTAATTGTCTGCGTTTAACAAACAGTATTCTACTGCTTACATGCCGTAATTAACTATTTTCGGCAGAGAAGACAAACTCTCATTGAATATTGTGCAATTTAAAAATAACTTCTTTACTAAAATCTAGTGTGTAATGTCACTTCTGTACTCTTTTTTCCCGTTTCTGATATATATTAACCATATCTAACAGAATTTATTACATCTCCGTGCGCCGGTTACGCGTATGACGACGTCATTTTCATCGAACTCAATTTCAAAGATACTATGAAAATTATGACATCAATCGTCTGTTTCTAATGATATTTATATGAAATTTTGACATATTATTAAAATTTTGATTCTGGTTTCAGTGATTTAAATTTGAGTTCAATGTGTTACATAGTACTAAAGAAATAAAAGGAAATGTAATAGTTATATGCGTAAATTATTCCGAATTTTGTCCGTGCGCCGACAGGCCTTATCGGCCTTCATATAAAACGTCCTAATATTATTAATATAAAAGATATGTATTTAAACATTCACAATTTTAAAGAACATTAACTATATTGTGTCTATGCAAAATTTGGGAAGTATTGGTTGCATGTTTAAGGATTTCAATCCCTAATGGTACCAAATTCTCTACCCTTAAATGTCTGTCAAAATTTATTATATTAAAGCATTTTATAGTGGAAAAGGATTGCATTTTCAAAAAGTTCATTGATTAAAATAGTTAATTAACAAAGATTGCATTGAAGTCTATGGGAAAAAGCGTTTTTTCAAAATAAAAATTCAAATAATTGGAATATCAATAAATCCTGTGGTGGAAAGATGCATTGAAATATTGTAAATAGAATGATAATTGAAAACATATTTTTTACCAGCTAAATTTTTTTTAATTGATTTTTTTTTATTAATTAAAAAAGGGGAGATAACTCTAACGAAAATTCAAGGTTATGAATTAGGACACATCCCACTAAACATACTTATAGTAATAAATGGGAAGTATGTCAAAATAAACTGAGTATTCAATGCCTACATATCTGTTATGTCTTCAGTTTCATTGAATTTCTTCCCATTAGGGATTGAAGACCTTAAAAAATTAAAAACATTGTCTACGACTTTTTGGGACAACCCTCGTACAATTATTGTCTAATGCATTTATTTTCGACTTATTTAAAAAAAAACAACAACCAAGCCTTGTCTTTATGATATTTGATTATAACATGTCAAAACCACGTATTTGTTTCCATACAATCCGACATTGGTCTAGATTCAAATAAAAATTATGTTCTATCTTTAATAGTCTCGGTATTGATAATAAACGTTGTCATTTTTGCAACCGTTGGGTTCTCGTACATGTTTACTGACCCAAATTTGACTGGACACAGCAATAATAAATATCATTTCAAAAAAAATCTTATGAATTAAAATGTATCATTAATACTATAGCATGTTGACTAAATGTTTTAATCAATGTGTCACCACTTAAATTACCGGTACTTGACAGATAAAATTTCCACCTGGAATGTAAAAATATAAATTTTATATGAAAGGCTTTTTAAAACATCTATATATAATTGCAGCTCACAGCTGTTAAGTTTTTATTTGCAAGAAATCAATACGAAACCTTACTGATTTTGTTTATCCCTGATTTTTGTAGGTACAACTCCATAAGACCCATGATTGATAAACGTACATCCCTCCTCAAAATGAAAACATTCCCTTTTTATCACAGCCCCGAACTCAACCTTGCGGCGTTCCATTTTTGTTCTGACACAAGCTGGCGCAGTGTACGGCGTGGATTAGCATAGATTAGCAATCTTGCTGAACGAGTGAAACATTTATTTACTTTCCTCGTAAATAAGGATCTTAGATACGTGTGAAAGAATATAACCTCCCCCACTCTTTCGTCTGTACACCATTTACTATAAGGAATCATCTTTTAGTATACATCAAGCTGCATGCGATAATTTTTTTTTTAACTTAATTTGTAATATTTACTCGAGGAAAAAACATTAATGTCCCACATACCGTTACACTAACATGTATGTGAATTCCATATGAGACACTGATGATGAAGACAATAATTTTGGTTCAACACATTTAACATGTTAATTGATAAAAGTAAACATAACGAAATATTTAGAAGATAATGTAATTAACTATCTATGAGGAGTTTACATATAAAAACTGGAACATATCTGTAATGTTTAATCTAATGCTGGATATACAGATGTCAAAGCAGGTACATGTAGGCTTTCATTTATAGTCAAGATATTTTCTTTTCGAAATGGTCAATTTTGTAGCCAGTGCGTTTTCGTCAACGTTTATTTTCATGTTAAACTTGACCTACAATATGACCTCTGTACACTAGACATATTGATAACAAATACCCGGTATCAAACATGTATTAGATTATTCAAGGAAAAAAATGTGTGGGAGCAATGCTGAAAGCACGTTTATTAGATTTTTATTTTATGCAACACCACTTTAAATTCTATGACAGATGAAAATTACTGCCTAAAATATTACAAAGTTTTTTTTAAGTATCCATACATCTTATTGAAGTTGTAACTCGTCCTTTTCACCCTTGTACTTAAAATTAATAGAAAACCTTACTGTTTTTGTTTATTTCTGATTTTTGTAGGTACAACTCCACAAGACCCATGATTGATAAACGTATATCCCTCATCAAAATGAAAACACTCCTTTTTCATAGCAGTACCGAACTCAAACTTGCGGAGTTCCATTTTTGTTCTAATCACGACCTGGCGTAGTATACAGCGTGGATTATCAAACTGAAGATTTATCTGCGCTTGAGTGAAACATTAAATATTGCTTGTCTCTAAAAATACCTTTTTAAGGTATCCGGCCCATTTCGTTTAAAGTTTGCATTTCGCCTACAAGGAAATTTTATGCAAATACATCTGTCGTAAAGTTGAACATTGACCAGCGTCCTTCATACAAATTGTGAGACCACTTTTGTTTTTGTTTTTTACTGAATTTGACAAGGACTGGTCGTCAGGAAATGCTTAATCCTCCGTGGAGTCACCAGTTGTTTTCATTTGTTCAAAACGAGGAATTACGGATAAGAGATGGGTATCCTTCAATATTCATAAACGTTCAACAATCTTCATAAAAAAAGCAATGTCATTGTTTTGCAATGGAAAACCCGAAATATGCTTCCGATCAAAAAGTAAAATACGAGGTACACAATGGTAAAAGTAACAAATAATTTTGTGAAAGTTTCATCAAATTTCAGTGGTATAGGAATTGCGGATAAAAAATGGGTACCCCAGAGTTTAACAGACGGACGGACAGACTTGATGGACAGACGAACAGACGGACATCCAAATCACTATATTCCTTCCCACTTTTCAAGCGGTGGTACAATAAAATGCAAATAGCAAAATATACAAAACTTCAAAATGACGAAGAAAATATTAAATATCAATTTCAATTGAATACAATATCACCCGAAATTGTTTTCACAGCCTTGTGTCTTTAACTTTTCTTGCGCGTGCCATTTAGAAGATCGACTATTTTTATGTAATCAGTCATTTTGTTGTATACGTTGGCAGAAAACCTCGGGTAAAGTTCATTCTGGACCGAAGAAACAACACAGAAAGTCCGCGTTTTCGTGAATGTTGCAGAATAACCTCCAAAGTCGGGAAATGTTGTTTGAAAGATAAAAGCCGAGGCGTTAGCTGAGGCTTTTATATTTCAAACAACATTTCGCCAGATTGTTGGAAGAATTGATCTCCATGAACTGTATACATAATGTCAATCAGAAACTCAAGAATCTTTTGAACATCAACTTAGAGTTCTCATTTGTAATATCATTTTTCCATGGTTTTATCGCTAAGAAATTCCATATCCATCAAACAGTAATCTTACATATCAACAACAATTTATGAATCCATTTGATAAAGTTTAATTTTGATGTCTCGATAAAAAATAAAAATTGTCATATCAGTATTCTTCTCTCTTTGAGGCCTGTCTAACATCTAGCCCGAGATTTCTGGAATTATTTTCTTCTTCAGTGACTCTGTTACAACGAATGATAATCACAACAAGCGAAATAAGACTTAAAATAAAGGTCAAGATAGCGAGGAAGTAGGAGTACGAAAATCCCGTGCCATCAGCCCCAATAAGTAAATAAACGTGTGTTATAGTATGGTGAATGATCACAGTAAACGCCAAAGTAACTGTAAATGAAAAAAATAATATTTATATTGATAAAGTTACAATACTTCGTGCTAGACATTGCAAGAAGCCTCGATTTTCAAGAGTTTGATAAATGGAATGCAAAATAAAGGAACAGGTTGTGTTTCTAAACATTCTTATTTTCTCAAAGAAAAAGGATTTTGTTTCAAAAAATGGTTGAGATATTTCAATATTAAATTTTCTGTACATTTTCAAACATTTGCCAAAATACGTATTAAAGTACAGAAATCTTACCTGCAGTGAGAACTATGAACGCCCCATTTATAGCTTTTTGTTTGGAAACAATCGCTAAACCGACTCCGTATAAAACAAGTGAGAGCACGCTGAAGGTCTTAACTTCAATATGGTTACCTAATAATACTGGAAGAGACAATTCGATAAAAGAGAATGTTTCATGAAGAATAATATACACATCAAATAAAGGGATAAAAGGTTCCAAAAATTCTTTTAAGAATAAATAATTTAATTTTGTTTATATTCTCGCCTCTCATTGGTTGATTTCCAAAAAGGAACACAGAACATTTTGTATAATCTGGTTTGGTATGGGGACACACCCCCTTGACGACCAGCTTAATCATCTTATCCATGCAATCCCCTCATTTCCAGTCCTCGGAATCCATGGAAAATTCAAGATTTAATAACTGTATCTTTAACTTCAAACACTTACTTGATCTTATTTCATGTAAACACACAACATGGCTGCTAGATCTATGTATCAGTTATTACCTCCCCTCGCTTCACATCACTTCCGTTACTAAGGTTGTATTATTGCGCGGTAAATTTGAACTCGTAAAAACAACACAATTTTACATCCAAAGTTGTTTAATTATTTTAAAATTAAAACAATGATCGTATTCGCGGATTATAAAGCGTAAACTGACCCAAACCAGATTATACTCGATAATTTGGCCAAGAATTAGAGTCATTCCTTAATAAATTTTAATATCTATCCATCCCCCCTCACACACACCCCACACAAGAGAGAGAGAGAGAGAGAGAGAGAGAGAATTACTTGAAAAAAACTGAGAAGTCCACTCGCACTTTTCAGATCCACAGACTACTGTATAAAATATTCCGATATTCGTTGATTCCTTTACCTACAATAACATGATACAGTTCATTATATAATACTACATGTAAGGGCATCTCTGATTTCATTAAGTACTTCTTTACACGTTTGTGCAAAAATCGGTTTACATTTTCATTACTCAAAGTGTATTTACTTTTAGAATTAAGAAATTAAGCAGGAAAAAAACCTGTACTTGTGTTTAAGTGTGATTGCTGTCGCAGACTGGGCCACAATAAGAGTAATTCACTAGCTATTGGCTAGAAATCAGGAAAATGTATCAAGAAAATGCATGTTGATCGTGGACCATACGGCTCAAATCAAGTCATCAATGAAGACAATATAGACCCAAACATAGTCAAAATTTGGCTGGGGAAAATGAACATGTTGATGAAAGCATACCACTAATGAACAACTTTCGGACAATGACACAAGAAAAGAAAAAAATGATAGTGAAACTAAACAGTTTCATATAAAAGATGTAAGTCAAGTGCAAATAAAATATGAAAGTCAGATGTTAGGCAAAAAGGCTGATTCTGCCACAAGACTATTTAAAAGTTAATCAGCCTTTTTGGTTAAAGGATTAAGAGACAGGTTATGAATTGCAATTTAAGTTGCTTGTATATACATGTACTTGTCCACCGCTGTAAGTTGCGGATATTAATTTTGGACGGTCTGTCCGTCCGTCTTTTTGACCGTGCGTCTGTCTGTCTGAAACACTTTTGTGTCCATGCGATCTCTCGAGAAGCCTTTGAGCTTTTGCAATGAAACTTTATGTGGTAGACCAAATTTACTATTTTTATTTATCTTATGTATTTATTCGTTTTGGGATCATTCTATTTTTCGTTTCATCTAAAGTAATCTTAAATATTTTTTTATCTTCAATTTCATTGGTTCATTTGATATTATCCAATAGTTTTAATTTACCTTGAGTATAAGTAACCGTTCAAACTAAGCAAAATTGGGCAGCATTACATTTTAAAGAAGAAATTATATCCAGCCGATATCAGATGCATCTTGTGGTATGTAACTTTCATATTTAATTATTTGTTCCTTTACTATTAAAGATTTGGGGTTTATATTATTATTATAATTGCGGAGTTTATACTTTATCGTATTTTTGCAGTTAAAGTTGATTTGATAAATTCTTATATTTTTGTCTGTAAGTTCAGAGTTCATTTTGCTACAGTACATTTTTCTATCTTGTATGTCTATACTGCATAAACGGTAACTTATTGTCAATGTTTATGAAACTATATGTATTTTTTCTAATGTATTCTTTGTATTTGTTATAGGTCAATGTCTTTATTCTAATTCTTCAATAAATAAAATGGATGCCAACATCTGAGTCATCCTTTCCCTTAATTGCTCGGTTACATCATGGCGCTGCGAAAAAACCCACCATCAACAGACATTGACCACCGTAGGAATTTAGTTTCCAAAGATAGCAGAAAATACAGCTAAGTTTATTTCATTTCGTGATATCAGCCATTTAAATGTTCGACGCTATTATTGTGCCAAAGAAATTTCACTGTGAGTACTTTTCATGCACCAACGTCTTACTATAGATTGAGAGAATTCCACTGTGAGTACTATTCATCGTTACCTGTGTCATTCACCTGTGTCTAAATCATGAGGAAAGCAGAATTGCAACACCGTGTTCGTGAACTGGAAATGGAACTACAAGAAGCGAAAATCAACTCACATTCAAAAACCATTATTGAGAAACAAACTTTTCTCCCGGAAACTAGGAAGATCAAGACATTCTCTGGACGGCCAAAATCAAAAACTGACACTTCTATTCACGATTGGATTGATGACCTTGACATTGCATTTTCGGCAAGAGCGTATACAGATTCACAGAAAGTTGATTTGATTTATTCTCACTTAGAGGGCCAAGCTAAAGAAGAAATAAAATTCCGACCAGAAATTCGACATGATCCATATGCTATATTAGACTGTCTCCGATCAGCATTTGGTAACCCAGAATCTGTCACCTTACTACAACAGAAGTTTAATTTTTTGAAAGAAATCAGCAAGATTCAGAAACAATTCGACACAATTCATACGCATTGTTAGATTTATACCAAATCGTAATCAGAAAAAAACAAAAGTGTATTTCCAAATAAACAACTTGCTCTGTGTGAAAAATTTGCTAATGGACTAAAGGATCCATTTCTTAGGAAAGAAGCGAAGAAATTACTACGGAATAACCCTACAGAATTTCACACTTTCAAAGATGAAATCATATTGTTCAGTGAAGAAGAGGAAACAACAGAAAATAGAGCAGCTACGCAAGTACACCAGCCGAACACGATCGAGGATCAACAAAATTTTAATTCCCATTCATCTGATTCGCCTATCACAGAACAGCTATACAAAATCATTGAAGCGCAACAAAAGCAAATAGATTCCCTCACAAGTATGATCAGAGATCGAGAAGCCGGTCAACAAACAAAGGAAAGTCGAAACTACTCACGTCCTCTACCTGTGTGTTTTGAGTGCGGAAAAGTTGGCCACATCAAAAGAAATTGTAGATCTTAACTTCATCGTGTTATTGGAAAGTGTCCTGTGATTGATATTTGTGTATGTAATGTTAAAATACCATGTTTAGTGGATACCGGTTCTATGGTGTCAACATTAACAGAAACTTTTTACAATGAATTTATTCTACCTCTAGGAACAAATCTCATCAAAAACAATGTTATTCAACTCAAAGCATGTAACATCTATATAGGTACGAGAAATTGATGTTCAGTATCAAGCAATATTATTCCGATGACAGTCAGCCAGGTTTGTCTTAATGAATGTTCTTATTTTATCTACCTGTAACGTTCCGGTCGATGGGAATTTAAATGAAATATTCTTAGATAACAGTGTGTTCGATAGGAAAGTTATTAATGGATTCGCTCGAGTGAAGGGAACACTACCTGTTCGCATTCCAGCAAATACCGCTATTGTTGTCGAGTGTACGACCTCATATTAATGGTGACGTGGTTGTTGACCCCTTGATCAATGGAGGACACTTGCATAGAAACTTCAGTACTGTGCATATCTGTAATACCGTTACCAAAGGGAAATTATGGGTTAGAGTCGCAAATATCGGTGATGAGGATATCTTAATCAAACCGCGAACTATGATTGGCACTGTTTCTAAATGTGAAATTCAAAGTGAAAATTCGACCATTGGTTTCAACCGCATTGGAAGTGTAGAAAAAGTGTTTGCTCAGGAGCGTCAAACTGACAAAGATCGCTGTCCTGATGAAAAATTTCAGTTACCTGATGACATTTATCAGCTTGACTGTAGTGATGAAGAAAAAGAAATGATCAGCTTGCTTTTCTGGAAATATAGTGACGTGTTTTCTAAAGATGACGATGATATTGGATGTACCAGTACAGTGCAGCATCGTATTCATCTTACAGATAATAAACCAGTTTCGCAGAAGTATCGTCGCATCCCTCCGTCCCAATATGAGTAAGTTAAACAACATATCTGAAAGCTTTTGGATAATGGTGTTATTCGTGAAAGTACAAGCCCTTTCGCTTCTCCAATCGTACTCGTGCGGAAGAAAGACAACTCTTTGCGACTATGCGTAGATTACAGGAGTCTGAATGAGAAAACAATCAAGGACAAATTTCCCCTACCAAGAGTGTAAGAAACTTTCGATGATTTATACGGATCGTCTATATTTTCAACATTAGATCTCTCTTCCGGTTACAATCAACTTGTAATTGCAGAAGAGGACATACAGAAAACAGCCTTTACTACTCATTTTGGACTGTATGAATACTTGCGCATGCCATTTGGTCTTACAAACGCACCTGCAACTTTTCAACGCCTGATACAACATTGTTTCCGTGAAAAAGTTTTTAGAATTCTCCATGTATTCCTTGACGATAAAATTGTTTTTTCAAAGTCAATACGTGAGAATGTTCAGCGTCTAGACAGGGTGTTTTCCATCTTACGTCAGCATGGACTTAAGTTGAAAATGAAAAAAAGTGTCGATTTTTCAAGCCTTCTGTGAAATATCTAGGTCATGTGGTCAGTGAACATGGAATTAGCACAGATGAGGATAAAATTAAGTGCATTGTGAACTTGAATATTCCACAAAATGTGAAGGAAGTTCAATCATTTCTTGGATTTGCGGGATATTACCGCCGATTTATAAAGCATTTTTCGCAAATTACAAAACCCCTTCTAGAAATCGCCAAGAAGAACGCTAAGCATCCTAAGACAATCTTAGGTGACAAATGGACAGAGGAATGTCAGGATTCGTTTGATAGATTAAAGTGTTTGTTGTCATCAGCACCGTTACTAGGATATGCTGACTTTTCGTCTCCATTCATTTTGGAAACTGATGCCAGTGCACACGGACTGGGAGCTGTGTTATCGCAGAAACAAAATGGACGTACTGTGGTCATTGCTTATGCTAGCCGTTCTCTGAGACCAAATGAAAAATCATCAAAGACCATGAGCAGTCTGAAATTGGAACTTCTTGCACTCAAATGGAGCGTGACCGAAAAATTCCGAGACTACCTCCTTGGAAATAAATTTGTCGTGTTCACAGACAACAATCCCTTAAAGTATTTCTCATCAGTAAAACTCGGAGCATACGAATAAAAGTGGGCGTCACAGTTAGCAGATTTCGACTTTGAAATGAAATACCGACCCTGTAAACAGAACACCAACGCTGATGTGTTATCCCGACTTTCATCGGACAGTTAAATTCTGAATCAGTGTATCGAAGGAACCAGCATACCATCAGATATAAAAGCAGCTCAATCGTCTGTGATATTTATTGAGTCAACAGATGCTTCATACTGTGATACGTTTCCTAGTTATACAAGTGATGATCTTCAGGATTTACAATCTAAAGACCCTGTAATTGGAAAGTGCAGAGAATTCCTTGTGTCAAAAACTGTTCCAAAACCAAGTTTTGTGCGCAAACAAAATAAGAAAGTTCAAATTCTGTTACGCCAATTCAAAAACTTGAAAATTTGTGATGGTGTTATTCATAGACGGATTAGTGATCCGAAACTTGGTGACCTGAATCAAATTGTTCTTCCTGTGTGTCTCAAAGACGTTGTACTGCAGAGTTTGCATGACGAGAATGGACATCAGGGAATCGAAAGAACTTTCAACATCTTCAGACAGAGATGCTACTGGCCACAAATGTTCAAGGATATCAAGAATTATTGCCAGAAATGTGAACGTTGCGCCGTTTCAAAAATACCGCCACCAACAGTACACACAAGCATGGGCCATTTTAGTGCATCAAAGCCATTGGAATGTATTGCTATAGACTTTTCCATCTTAGAAAAATCCCAGGGATACGAGAATGTGTTAGTGTTAACAGATGTATTCAGTAAATGGACCATCGCAATTCCAACAAGGGATCAAACGGCACAGACTGTGGCAAAAGTGTTAGTGAAGGAATTATTCTGTGTATTTGATGTGTGTAAGAGAATTCATTCCGACCAAGGAAAGTGCTTTGAGGCAGAAATAATACAACAACTGTGTTCGCTATATAACATCAAGAAATCCAGAACTACAGCCTATCATCCCCAAGGCAATGGCCAGTGTGAGCGTTTCAACAGAACCCTCCATGACCTACTACGCTCTTTACCGCCAGCTAGGAAACGGAAGTGGCCTGAGTACATAAGGGAGTTAGTGTTTTCCTACAATGTCACACCAAACGCATCGACTGGATACTCTCCTTACTTCTTAATGTATGGTCGGCAGCCACATCTTCCGACAGATTTCCTTTTAGGCCGAAGTACCAAACCGTCAGATGAAATCAGCATCGACAGATGGGTGGAGTTACATTCAGAGAAGCTTGCGTTCGCTTACAACAGAGCCAAAGAAGAACTTACCAGAAACGAAACCGCGCAAAAACAGAGACAGTACTTTGGCAGATGCGAAAAAGAACTCCAGATCGGCGACAAAGTGTACGTTCGGAACCGAGGTGTGCGAGGTCGAGATAAGATCCAAGACAAATGGAAGCCGGAAGTTCACATCATTGTGGATAAACCGTTTAAATCAGTGTATAGTGTGAAACCAGTGAATGGTGATGTTGTGAAAAATATGAATAGGGCTGAAATAAAACCAGTGATTTGTGATTTGTGAATATTTTCCTACCTCCGGTGTGAAATATGGACTTACCGAGTGATGTAGAGACTCTATGTGACAATTCATATTGAACATTTTTTTTTCATATCAAATATATAATTTTTTTTTCATATATTGATGAATTTTTTCTATATATTTTTTTCTTATGTATTTATTATATTAATCTGAGGACAGATTAACATTTTGTGGGGGAGTATGTGGTAGACCAAATTTACTATTTTTATTTATCTTATGTATTTATTCGTTTTGGGATCATTCTATTTTTCGTTTCATCTAAAGTAATCTTAAATATTTTTTTATCTTCAATTTCATTGGTTCATTTGATATTATCCAATAGTTTTAATTTACCTTGAGTATAAGTAACCATTCAAACTAAGCAAAATTGGGCAGCATTACATTTTAAAGAAGAAATTACATATATCCAGCCGATATCAGATGCATCTTGTTGTATGTAACTTTCATATTTAATTATTTGTTACTTTACTATTAAAGATTTGGGGTTTATATTATTATTATAATTGCGGAGTTTATACTTTATCGTATTTTTGCAGTTAAAGTTGATTTGATAAATTCTTATATTTTTGTCTGTAAGTTCAAAGTTCATTTTGCTACAGTACATTTTTCTATCTTCTATGTGTATACTGCATAAACGGTAACTTATTGTCAATGTTTATGAAACTATATGTATTTTTTCTAATGTATTCTTTGTATGTATTTGTTATAGGTCAATGTCTTTATTCTAATTCTTCAATAAATAAAATGCATGGATACCAACGTCTGACTCATCCTTTCCCTTAATTGCTCCGTTACATTTACATAACAACTCTCTAACTTAAGCCCCCCACCCCCACCCCCCGATCAGCGCATTATCTACTTTTACCTTAAGCAGAGGACACAGTTTCTCTGAATTAGCTTATCGAGGGGACACTTTAGGAATAGCAATAGGGGGCATAGGTTATTAATGGTATAAAATTTAATAGCAAAATCTCAAAAGATTCTTAGGATTCCGTGTGGAAATGAAAGTTTAACACACACACACACACATAACGTTTGAATTAACAACATTGACCTTGACCTTTTTCACTCAAAATTAATGAATATCTTCCTGTCTATCTTATTTTAACTATATTCTTAAATCATCTTCAGAGTTTTCTTTTCGATGTTTTATCTCATGTGATTTTATTTTTTTTTAATCCCATTAAAAAGACAAAAAAAATATACAATACATTTTTTATGTTTTCCAAAGAGAAATTTTTTTTAAAAAGGAAACAAATAGTAGAATGTACTTTGTTATACTTTTTCATATAACAACAATTTCCTCTTAAAATATGCGAGTTTTAAGATGATTCTGAAAATTAAATTGTATAAAATTATAAAGAACTTTATTCGGTAATAACCAATATAAATCGAACTTTGATGAATATATTTAATTAAGTTCTTAAACTTGCTGATTTCAAAGCACTGAATATTTCATAAGTAATGACGCCATATGTACGTAATTCACAAACATGACGTAAACTTCAAAATTTACAGAAAAATGTACATATTTCGTCGATATTTTGAGTTCACCGAGCGCATGTGTGTTCAGGATCAATAGATATAATGTGTAGAATGATAATATCAATGAAATATGTCAATATTGTTCCTGAACAAACTTGCGCCCTATAAATTTTAAAGCTAAAATTGTTGAAATTTTGACCATTTTGTCCTCTTTCTGAAAAAGGATATAAAATCGAACTAGTTTGTGACGTCATAAAAACAAAAATTGGGAATACACTGCTTTGACACTATGATATTTTCTGTTAATTTATATTTCTAATACAATTTATTGAATTCAGCACATTTCGAGAAGTTTTCAAAATTTGACTTTTGTGGGGGCAAATATATGCAATATACCGCATATAGTTCTTTTATGAAAGTCAATTTCATGTTAAAATTTCCATTCAGAGGTAATCATGCATGTAAAAAAAATCTACGCCTTACTTTTGTATAACTGTCATACATGTGTTCCTTGCTGTAAACTATCCATCCTGGCGTAGCCAAGGCCACGATCCAGAGAATGAAACCAATCAGTAAACCAAAGAAAGGTCTCTTAAAGTCTGGTAGCATTCCGATCTTCTCTGAAAAATTAGGAATAATTATATAATGATTACTTCTCCATCCAAAAAATATTTCTTTTTCCAGAAATATTTCAGATAAACAAAAGACGAACAATTCTTTATCAAAAATCAAACGTGTGTTCAGTTGGTTTAATGTTTGCCGATTTGACAAGAATTGGAATTGATGAAAATAAAAAAAAATCATGGTTTTGTACTTACGTTGATATGGACTGTAAAGTCCAAAACGTCAAAAGCTGTGTTTGGAATACCTTGCAAAAATATTAAAAATCCCGGTTTTTCCAAATGTAAAACATAAACGGCCCGATAGGTTGAATAATTATGTAATTATGTAAATTTTGCACAGGTAAGTTTATGTCTGGTGACAGTTATTGCCAGACAAATCGAGAAAGTCTTGCTCTATAGATCTTTTTAAAAGTGCACAATATCTTCAATTTTATTAACTGATTTTATAACCCCTTTCCTTTATAATCTGGAAAAGTTGTACAGTACTTAAACGTATAAGATACTCGTTTTCCTGAAAATTTTATAAGCAAATAATTAAGACAACATTCGAAGAAAGAGAGTGGCAGAATATGCATGGAAATAAGGAGGACTTCTTTCCTTTTAATCAATTTTATTAGTAATGAGTTACTAATATTTCACCTATTTTTTTTTTTATTTCAAGTGCATAATTATAACACTGGGAGGTGCAGAGTTTTTTTTTTTCAAATATACACCAGTTAAATCTTTGTAAGGGGTTGTGCCGCTGATTCACAAGTTCCCTACCAGATCGAGGATCAAATGTCATCTTCTGTGCTCAGATCAAGTGAAACTTAAAACTGGAGTTGGATACAATTGGATACTGCAGAAAATACATTAAAAATTAATTATGTATGGTAATGTGAAGGCCCCAAAATAAAGATGTTTCAAAAAAGTTTAATTATCATGAAAACTGGATGGTTATAAAAAACTCGAATTGCATAATTCTAAATGACACGAAAAAAATTCCGTTCTTATTTGTAGCAATATTGATATGCGCTATTTTGAAATCCGCGTCAAAGGTTAAAAGGTTTTAAGATTGGTTTACTTACATTATTTTATTCAGATGGCAAAAATAAATTACACATGTACATTGATTAAGTCAATGATGAAACATTTATAAAATATTTAAATAGTGAATTAAACGTACATATACTTATTGTGCAAACCATGTAAACACCATTGTTGTTTCCATGTTTCACATTTGCAATTTCAGAATTTTAAGACTCTCTCTCTCTCACACACACACAAATGATTCTCTCAACAGCCAATGCAGATATTGATTGGCTAAAGAACTTTTTTACTATTCAACGAAACAATATGAGTTTCGTATTCAATCATTAAACGCAGTTGACAATTGTATTTAAAAAAATGTAATAAGTATTTCACCATTATAAATATCTAAATTATCTTAATAAAATTAAAATGTAAAAATAACAAAATATTTCTTAATAAAAACACTCATTAAAGTAATATAATCAGTCGTGTTAATTAAGTAAATTGTATATTCTATTACATTGTATTTGCAAATACCTAATTAAATACAAGTTGGCTTTCCTGAAAGACTGAAATGCTATCTTTCTGGCTTGAATTAATAATGTCACAGAATAAACAGTGGAATATAACTTGTTTTTCTCTGCTATCACAGGCAGAAAAATCGTTTTGAAGGGGGGGGGGGGGGTGGGGGTAGAAAAACTTACCTGAACAATCTTTGGCTTTGAAAAGGGGATTGTTCAATATCTAGTTTCTGATTGACAATATCTATGTGGTTTTTGGAGACCAGGTATTCCAACAATCTATTGGAATTCCCATGGGTACAAATTGCGCTCCGTTATTAGCAGACTTATTTTTATATTCATATGAAGCAGAATTTATGCAAAATCTTTTACGTGAAAAGAAGAAAACACTTGCTGTGGCCTTCAACTCGACATTTAGATATATCGACGACGTATTGTCAATTAATAATGATAATTTCCATTCCTACGTCGACACGATATATCCTGGTGAGCTTGAGATAAAAGATACCACAGAGTCCGACACTTCTGCTTCATACTTGGATATTTTACTTGAAAAAGACACTAATGGTAATCTAACAACCAAGCTATATGATAAACGTGATGACTTTAACTTTTCTATCGTCAACTTCCCTTATGCAGCAATATACCTTCATCACCTGCATACGGAGTATTTATATCTCAGTTGATTCGATACGCAAGAGCATGCTCTACGTATGAACAATTTCTTAAACGAGGTAAATTATTGACAAGCAAGTTGATGAAACAAGAATATCAACAGTCTCGTTTGAAGTCATCATTTCGTAAATTCTATGGTCGATACAATGACCTTGTCAACAAATACAATTTATCATTGAATGAAATGTTGACGGACGTTTTTCATACCAATTGTTAGTCCATTATTTATACACTGAATTGACCACGGATTTTTCCCGTTATTTCCTGATTATGACAACGAGCACACGGCGGGTGTGACCGGTCGGCAGGGGATGCTCACTCCTCCATGGCACCTGATCAATTTTTCCTTTGGCTTTATTTTGTATATTTGTTTAATGGACGTTGAGATTGAATACTGTTCGTTATTTCCATATCCATCTTTTATTTTCGTGGATGAGGAGGGAAGATTCTTTTTGAAAAACTTTTTTTTTTGGGGGGGGGGGGTATATTCATACTTTTGGCAAGGGAAGAGCAACCTTTCAGAGAAAATTTGCAACAGTAAAAGGTTCCAGACTGTATAAATTAATTAAGAGGCGTGATTTCCTGGTGACAAGTGCCTGTAATATTTAATCTTTGTGTAAATATTTCTATTTATTTTAAAAAAATATATAGTGTATTTTAAATTGTTACCACTTATTATTATTTCCTAAAATTTGTAAACAACGAGGGATGATAAAAAATTCGCGAACTATCTCTATATTTACAAAACCACAAACCCGTTTTACAAAAGGACTAATTATTTCAATTTTCTTAAATGGAATGTGTTAAGATATTTTAACACAAAGAATTTCAAAGAGAATTATTAATCTTGCAAAATTTTATAATCATCTGAAGTTTTTGGTCTTAGTCGTAAGTTCTTTCGTAAAACGGGCCCCAGAACAGAATGAAATTTGGCAAACGTATTATCATGCATATGTTCTATAAATAGCATATCAAAAGTAATGCTTTTCTCTATCATTGTGGCGTCATAATGTGAAAATGACGTCAATATGTAGGTAACTCGTGACGAAAAGTGGTTGTTATAGTCTTACTCGAGTAACGAAGAGCTGTAAAGTTTAAGGCAAACTTGGAAGAAATTCCTTTGAATTATCTTAAAATGTAGACCAGCGAAAGGAAGCTGGGGAAGAGATGTGTCCTTTGTTAGGTAATTTGTCATGAAAGATTGCAACGTAACACCTAGAGAAATGGTTAAATATCTTAACAAAAATATTATTATTAATCCGTGGAATATCGTTTAATTTAAATCTCTAACATATTAAATATGATAAAAAGAATGTATCCACAACTATATCCATAGTGGAAAAACGGCGTTCCTTAAACAGAGAACTTGGGTTGTAATGGTCACCATGTTCTTCAGGCGCGGATCCAGAAATTTTTCAAAGGGGGGGTTGAAGTATTTTTCAAAAGGGGGGTTGAAGGCGAAAACAGTTAAAACGTACGTTGTACACATATAGTTAAATAACTCAATAGAATATCGATACAGGGTGGAGTATGGTTTTTGAAAGTGGGACGTTGATCAATCTGGGAAAAATTACTTGTATACATTACCAGAAAGTTTTTAAAAAAGAAAGGAAAATAAATCTCCGAACCTGAAAATCCTAATTTGTAAAGGAATGGGGTTTTATTTAGTTTTTACAACCGAATTTCTTTATATATTACAAATTAGCCTTTCATCTTACATTTTCAATAGTAGAAACACAACAAAAAATTGGAACTTTCTTATTTCTCTTTCTTTTTTGCAAATCCAAAGGGGGGGTTGCAACCCCCGTAACCCCCCCCCCCCCTCTGGATCCGCCACTGTTCTTTCATGTGAAAGGATATCCTTATCCAATCATCCTATTTGGTCATTTCTGACAAATAGACTGTTCTTGTTATAAAATTAACTTGAATTTTAAGAAGTATCCTAAGACTAGAAAAATATTTTAGCGTTCTTGAAAAGAATGCTTCAGAGCATGTCAAGTGACCGCCTGGATCACGTGATTCGCGCATGTGCAGAACAGTGGCAGATAAGCATTAAAATAAAAGAGGGTTACTTAAAAAAAAATAATGAACACTAAAACTTACTTTTATTTGTTTTATGTAAGTTATTCAATTTGTTCGCGAAAACTTTTTGATCACCCCTAGTACTAAGATTGGTAAAAACCTTCCTTTTGACTACAAAGTCGCCTACTTTATCAGCAGCAAATAAGTTTTCAAGCCCTCACTCAATTATAAATACTGTAAGCCCGGTCCTCAATTCCGAATCCTTGATTTCCAAAGATTATTCTTAACCTTGTTCTCCTGAGTGACTTGGCCATCGAGGCACTGGGGATAAGGGGAAATAAACTACTCTTACATCAAAATCTTCTACTGTCCACATTCAACTTTTATCGCTTTATATATATATATATATACATGCGCATCTTACTGAAAAAAAATATAGAAAAGTAAAAAAAAAAATGCCAGCAATGTTGTAGCAATGCAAATAAAGGCCATGCCCACTTTTAAATATATGACTTATCCATGCAAAGAAATAACGCTTACATGGATAGAGGTAAGTAATAAAATTTATACATTTAAATATCAGCTAAAATTGAAGCATTTACAAGTTTTGAAAAAGACTCCCGATTTACCAACCCTGATTTTTAGACTGTTCTTTGAAACACTCAGTCTAGTAAAAACTTTGGCTGTATTTAAGGAATGATGACTTTTTTTCCATTAACCGACCATGCAATTTAAAATTAGGCATAAAGAAAATGATTGCAAATATAAATCCTTAAATAAGAGTCGCGTAAAAAAAATTGTCTTTTATTCAGGGGTAACAATATTGTATTTTTGACATTTATCTTTTAAAGAAAAGAAGAATAGTCCACACATGAGTAAAAATTAAAACTTAGAATAATTCTTTGTGATCTTGAAATCTTCCAGTGCCCGTAGTTCTTAAATCAGAGACATTTTTGTATGTCTCTGCTTATTTTGTGCTTTGATTTTTTGAAGATTCTTTCCAAAAAAAAAGAGATATGTTTTGTTTTAAGTTATCGAATGATTCACTAAA